CCTGTGCCTGGTGTTTCAGTTGCGTGCTCTGGGGTCTCCACCAGTCGGATCGATTGCGCTTTGGTCTCTGCTAGCTTCTCTAGTGCCGTCCAGTTTAGGTCGCTTGTTCCAGTGCCGTGGGGCACTCACGCCGCTTTGGAGTTTCAGGTTTGGGCTTCCCCCAGGGCCATCATGCTTTGGAAGGCCATGCGACCTAAGCCCATTCCTGTCAAAGGCGTTGCTGCCCCTGTTGAAGCCTGGCCGCACTTCCCGGTGCAGGCGCAGCTGCTGCAACGCAAGCGGCCAGACTTCTTCAAGGCCAACTATGCCGCTGCCGGTCTCCTCAAGCTCGAGCATGACAACATCCAGGTCTCTCTCGATTTAGGTGCCCAGTTGTCTACCTGGATTGTTGCTCTGGAGCTTGAGGCCTTCTCGAAGCTTGGTGTGGCCCAGGATTAGGTTTTCCAGTTTATAGGTCGTTGCCAGGAGCCCAGGCTGCGTTTGGTGCCCCTCGCGGCCGCCCAGGTTGAGGGGCCCTGCCAGGCAGACCGTGACGCCCGTTTCTGGCAAGCTGCCTTTGTCAAACTCAGGCTGTTGCTTAAGCTTGTCCCGCAGGATTCCATGGAGGATATCCCGCCGCAGCCTGACCGTGAGCATGCAGCTCAATTTCGTGCCACTATGGCTTGGCTTTCTCGGCAGGTACCCCCTCCCCCGTCTGACCCTTCCGATGCGGGTCAGTGTGGAACCTTTAACTTGTGGAAGATTCGTTTTCAGCGTATTTCGGAGCTGCCGTTCGACGGGCTGCAAGACTTGCTAGTTGAGCTCCAGCAGGTGTCTGAAAAATCCCACCGTGACGCTCTTCAGGCTCAGAAGGCTTCGTGGAAGGCCTGGCTCCAGGGGGCGCTTTGCAGGTCTGCGGGGCCGGGCCATCGGCTGTTGAAGCCGCCCCTGGACCCTCTGGAGGCCGAAAAGATCGGTGAGGAAGGACCCTGCTCAGCCCTTGATCAGCTCCTGGAATTTGAAGCGGCCGCCTGGACGGCCATCTGGCAGCAGCGCGACAAGGACGAGGCGCGGGCTGCGTTAGCTGCCCTGCGTAAGTGCGCTCGGTCGTCCCCGCGTTTGCCACCAATCGACCTGGACACCCTTAATCGTGCGCTCAAGTCGTTGCCTGACTCCAGTGGTCAGGGCATGGATTTTAATGAGCCGCGCTTAATCAAGGAGGCTAGTGTTGAGGCCCAGCTCCGCCCCATTCAGCTTCTAGAGTCCATTTGAGAGCGGTGCACTTTGCCTTTTCAGCAGCTTTTTGCTTTGATCGCCCTCATTCCGAAGCCTGACGGGGGAAAAAGACCCATTGCGGTGCTCGGCTTTGTTTATACGCTTCTCTTGCGCATCAAGAAGCCTTTCATCGCGGCTTGGGGCCGTGGGGCGCACGGGCCCTGGGACCAGACTGTTGGGGGCTCGGCCGACGTGGCTGGTTGGCTTGACGAGCTTGAAACGAAACGTGCCCTCCACGGCGGTTTCCAGGTTGGGGGCCTTTCGCTGGATATGAAGAAATAGTACGACCATGTCTGTCTTAAGGACTTGGTGGAAGCGGCTCGAGAATTAGATAACCCGCTCCGTCTGTTGGCCCGGGCCATCGACATCTACTTGGGTGTGCGGCATTTGTCGTTGGAGGGGGCTGCCCATCCTGGGATCCTGGCTCATGGGGGCACGTTGGCTGGGCGTGGCCAGGCCAACTCCCTTGCGCGGGCTCATTTGCACCAACCCCTCGCAGGAGCCAATGGATCGGTCGGTGGCCTTAGGCTGCGGGAGTGGGTTGATAATATCTCAGCGTCTTTTTGGCGCGCATTCGTCCATCGTTGCTACGTTTCCCATCCTGCTTCGAGCCCTCCTCACTTGCCTCAGGAGGCGTCGCTGTGAGTTGCCCCTGCGAAAGTCCCATTTGCTCGCGTCCTCGCCAGGCCTTCGGGCTGAGCTTTCCAGGGTTGCTGTCAGTGAGGGCCGTGAGTTCTCGGTGGCTCTGGCCGCCAGGGACCTGGGGCACGACGCCGCTTTGGGCGCCAGAAGGACTGCGGCTGTCATGAAGACCCCCTTCACCAAGGGGCGGGATGCCACTAGTAAGATTTTCAGTTTTGGGCGCACGTGCAGGCAAGCCAGTAAGTTGTTCTTTCCTAGTGCCTATGCGAAGGCCATGTGGGCGCCCGAGATTCACGGCGTCTCTCCCTCCATGCGCACAGGCCTCCGCAGCATGGCTCGTGCTGCCAGCAAGACCCCTCAAAGAGGAGTGTGTGCCACAACCGCTATCCGTCTCACTTTTGGCTATGGCCAGGACCCCCCATCCAGGTTTACGTTCGGCGTGTCGTCAAGTCGTGTTTTGCTCGCCTTGCGGGCCGCCCTGGGCTCCTCCGTCGCCTGGCCTGTCTCTGGGCGGCCTCCTTGGCCATGGTCCGAAAAGGGCGGCCCTGGGTCCGTGGCCCGATGGCGGCTTTTCAAGCCACGATGTTGGCGGTAGGATGGCAGTGCCCCTCACCTTTCACTCTCATCGCGCCTTGTGGTGACGAGTGGCAGGTGATGGAGGACGGGCACGGCCCGCTAGGCCCTCTCCCCGAGGCTTTCGACGCTTCCATCGACACCCTACAGTGGCGCCAGGCTTCCGAGCACCTCGATGGCGCTGGAATACAGGGGCCTGCCTCTCTTCACCATGTCTGGGACCTTGTTGCCCCCCTCGAGAAGGATGGGCGTCGGGACCTCGCGGCTATGATTCGGCTCTTGGTCTCTGGGGGCTATTGGACCGAGGAGAGAAGGCACGGGGCCCAGATGGCTCCTGATCCCATTTGTAGGCGTTGCCAGCGTGACCCCGAGACCTCCTGCCACAAGTTTTGGGAGTGCATGTGTAACGCTTCGTCGCAGGTCCAGGAGATTGTTGACTCTCAGCACTTTAGGCACGGTGCCCAACAGGAGGCTCTCCAGTATCCGTGTTTCTGGATGCGTGAACTTATTCCCTTTTCCTGATTCAACCTCCCTCCTGTGCCTGATTCCAGGGACCTCCAGGGGCGGCGTTGTCCTGGGGCCTTGTTTCCAGGCTGTCTGCCAGGAGGCCTCTATGCCACTGATGGCACGGGAGGGCAGTTTGCCAAGTTTCCTGTCCTCCGACGAGTTGCCTGTGCCTTTGTGCGGCTCCGTCCTAGCGATGATTTTGATTGGGATTGTGGAGTCACAGGTGTACTCGACTCGGTTCGACAGACGGTTCCCCGCGCAGAGCTTGCGGCCATTGTTGAGTGCCTTCGTTGCGTTGACCCTGCCCAAGCTCTGCGCGTGGTCACCGACCATGCCAATATTGTCAAAAAGGTTTCCTGGCTGGCCGCGCTGCCTCTGCGAGGCTGGCAAATTGTCATATCTGGTGGGAATTCTGGCAGCTCCTCTCGGAGCGACCTGGGGACTTCCAGCTTTTTCATGTTCCTAGCCACCTGTTGGAGGATCCCCAAAAGCTCGCCCGTTTTGGCGACTCTGTGTACTGGGACTATGTAGTGCTCAACTCTGTCGCTGATGAGCTCGCTGAATTGCGTGCTCGGGAATGCCAGGTTCCGAATGGAGTTGTTCAGGCTCATAATGAGCTAGTCGGCAATGCTTGTGCCATCCTCAAGCGTAACGCCTCTATCATTCTCGAGTGTGCTGCCCTCAAGGCCGAGCCTGAGCGCAGGCTGCGCAAGCAGCCCATTGATCTTGTGCTCCGCAGGCGTCGGTGGATCGAAGCTGATGTGAGGGGTTCGTCGCACGTTTGGGAGTTCGGTTCTGGCGTTTGGACTTGTGGGATGTGCAAGGCTTCGATCTCCGATGCTGCCCCCTCGCTCCGTGCGAGGTTCCGCTCGGCTTGCTCTGCTTGTGGAGGAGGTGGAGTTGGGGGTTCGGAGTCGGTGGTGGCGGAGGAGGTCACTGTGAAGAAGTGGGCGAGGCCAGGTCGGGCCCTGGCCGCCAGGGATGATGCCCTATGGCGTCGCCTGAGGCTCGACCCGCCCCCCCAGCGTGTTGCGCCTTGGGTCGCGGGCAAGACGGTCCACCCGTCACACGTTTTGTGGCATAAGGGTGCCTTCACTTTTTGCGGTGAATGCGGCTCGTGGGCAATAGCTCGCCCTGACTCCTTGCGGGAGCCTTGTCCCGTGGCCGCGCTGGGACCGCACGCCATCACAAAACACCAGCTCGAGGTTTTGCAGCGGGTTTGCAAGGGCCTCCCGCCGTCTAAGACCTCCACGAGCTGGATGGCGTAATTCCTTTTCCCTGCCAGGCAACCCCTGCATCCCTTGCACTCTGGAGGTTGGCTGGCAGCGGCGCACTGGAAAAATCCTCCTCCTCCCCCTCCTCCTCTTCTCCTCTTCTCCTCTTCCTCCTCGCTTCTCCTCGCTTCTCCTCGCTCCTCCTGGCTCCCCCCTGCTGCTCGAGCCCCAAAACGCTGCACGGGCCGGCGCGCCCACCCCCCGCCGCGCTGCTTTTGGGGCCTCCGCGAGGCGCCAGCGCGGCTGCTGGGCACCGCGCCGGGCGGGGGCAGCGGTCCGCGGGCGGCGGCGCGCACAATCGGGAGCGGCCAAGAGGGGGGTGTCCAAGAGGGGGGGTGCAAATCATGACCGGCGGCATGTGCACGGCCCAGCGGGGGGGCGTAATGAAGTAAGAAGAGGCGCCATGAAATCCGGGGAGATATCATGGCCCCCGCCATGATATCCCCCCCCCTAATCATCACCCCCCTCTTTTCCGCCCCCGACACAAGGGGGTGGAGGGAGGGGGGAGGGCTCTTCGCAGGAGGCTGCTTCTCAGCAGGGCTGAACCTACACGGTGCTTTCGTTTTCCTTTTGTTGTCGTTTTCCCTCGCTTCTGTCTCGAAGCCGCCTCTACCTCAAAACGAAGTCGGGACGAACAAAACGGCCCACGAGATCGCCAGAAACAACGTGTAGGTCCAGCCCTGCATCTTAAGAAGGTGCCAGCCTGGCATCTACACAGAGGGCCCGCGCCTTCCAAGAAGCAGGGTGCTTCTAGGAGGCCCTCCCCGCTCCCGCCACCGCCCTCGGCGCGCGGCGGTCCGCGGGCGACGGAGCCTGCTCGCCGCTGGGGAAGTCGGGCGGGTCCTCCTACAGGCCGGTGTTTGGTCGAAAAACAAGGCTTGGGCGTTGGCAGAACTGGGTGCAATGGAACCTGGTTTGGTGACGTGTGCTGGGGGACGCCCCCGCCACGCCCCGTTCCACGAACCGGAACTGCCGCCACCCGAAAAAAACACAAGCCACGGCAGACCTGGTTCAGAGATTTGGGCCAAAGTGGGGACTCCGGGGCCCTACTACTAACCGGGTCCCCTCGCCCGGGGTCCTGGCCATATCCGAAAAGACACAGGCAACACATGCGCAACAAGAACGTAATACAAACATCGGAACATCGTCCTGGGGGCTCCCAAGACGTCGCCAAGGAGCCCCCAGAGACTCCCAAGAGATCCCCAAGCGGCCCTGAAGAGGGCTCCCAGGCCGGCGGAATGAGCGAAGCGATTATAAGAACATCGGAGCATCGTCCCCGTACCAACTGTTTGGCTCTGTTGAAAGATTCGGCGGTGGACAAACCTCCCTTTAAGCAAACCTGGGACCGCAACCGACGGACCCGGACCCGCAAAAATGACGGCCGCGCCGCCCTCTCGCGAACCGAAGACGGCCAATTCCTGAATCGACGTGCCAGGGTAGGAGGTTTGCCCACTTCCGAAAAATGCCTCCTGCAGAAGGACGCGCCCGACTGAGGGCTGGGCCTGCGACCCGTCTCTGCGGGCCGGCCCGCGGGGTCGTCGACGGCGCGCCCGGGCCGCCCCCGGCGGGCTGCGCGCCCGAGGGCCCTCCGAGCGGGGCGCTGCAGTGCCTCCACCACGGAGGGCGTCGTCGCCCAGCGTCGGGGCACTCGAGCCTCGCAGCTCGCTCCGGCCTGCAGCAGGACGGAGGGAGACGGGATCCAGGGCTCTGGCTGGTTGGTGGCGCGCACACTGGGGTGGGGGGGAGGGGGGGGGGCTTCTTGGAGGGAGGCTGCGTCTCAGAAGACCCACAGGACCCCGATGCATCCCTCAAGAATCCTTCAAAGATGCTGCAAAGATCTCCAGGGAAATATTCGGGAATCAGCGTGAGTCCTTCCGGGATCGCTCTTGATTCCTCAACGCAACGAGGCCGCGCAACTCGCGGCTCCTCTCCGTTATCATCCGTTCGATTTTCCTCACCGGACTCACTAACGATGCGCCCCTTCGCTGGACAACCCAACCCACCTCCACATTGCAGAGGGAGGCTGATGAGGGCAAGGGGCGAACCGGATGAGAACAGAGATGGGATAAAGGAGAAGGCGGGGGGGAGGTCTCCGCACTGCGAGCGCGAACGTATTCACTCTCAATACCAATATCAATATCACTGGTCCGCTACTCGCAGCCAGTTGCGTTTTGTATCCGGGCCCTATCTTAGCACGCCAATCGGAGTAACGCGCGCAAAATCGAAAACACGCCAAGTTGCGCCGCTTCCATTGCGAAGCCGAGAATTCCTGGGGACTCCTGCAGGATCCTGAAACTATTGCCTGTTAGGGGCTGGGGTTCCCTGGGGATTCCGCTGGATCCCCAGAGGCGCCTGCAGCATTCCTGAACGGATCCTGATACATACTTCGGGATACTGCGGATGGCGGGAAGCGAGGAGCTGGGAGTTGGTTTGGCAATGCTGAGTAAGGAATAAAGGAAGAACAAACTCGCGAGGGACAACTGACTCGCCGTTGCAAATTATCGCCTGGCGGATGACGGGAAGCGCCTTCTCAAGGCCCTGGCTCGAGCGATTGTGGCGTCTTTTTTCTTGTGTCAGCGGGGTCGCAAGCCCCCGCGCAGCATGATCCTCAGTCGATGGCGGGACATGTTGTATTTCGCTTCTCTTATTATCGCCATCGCTAGCCGAAACACCCAGCGCTGGAGGGCCGAGCGTTCGGTGGCGGCACGACCGCCGTGGAGCTACGTTTCGTCGGATGTCACTCCTCACGGGAGCGAGCCAGTGCGCTGCATGAGGAGCTATCCCCGAGCCAGCCGGCCCCTGGCCGCCAGGGGGTGGCCATGGGTCAGGACCCTGTTTTCGGAAGACCAGGACGTTGTGGTCGAGCTAAGCTCTGTGGATCCATCTTACGGCGTGACACAAACGAACGGATGGGCTCTGGCGCGCGGCTCGGCGTCTAATGTTTCTTGCCACGTGGGACAATGCACTCACCGCGGTGGTGCCCCAGTGCGGGCGTTTGGCTCGAGGCCTTTGCAGATGGCCTCTACTATTGTTCCCGCTGTGATTGTACCTGCTACGCGGCTCTGTCGGCGCGTGCTAAGCGCTTCCCCGGCGACGTGGATCTCCAGACCATTCCACGCGCGAAAACTACACTGTTTCGGAAGGCACGCATCGCGTTCACAAGGTGGCAAATATGGGGCACTTACTCGTCTCGGTGGCGCGGCTTCAATTCGGTCAGCCTGCGCTGGTTCGCGGCGGACTACGGCTCACAGCTCAATGATCTCAGGGTGCGCGCGAGCGCACTGTTGACTCCGCGGGCTGCGGCCACCCGCAACATCCCACGCCCCAGGCGTGCCAAGTCATGCGCCGACCATCATTTTGTTCAGTGTTGTGTGTTTTCTTGTCCAACGCCTGTGCTTGTCTTCTCTGCCTCACTTCCTGGGCCCGCTCCTCGGTGACTTTGAATGTGGCTCGGCCTGCAGCCGCAGGCAGGTGGTCGACCTGACTGTCTGCAGCCTCTCCGTATCCCACGTCGAGCGTTGCCGACTTTGCATATGCTGGTAAGGGCGGCTCCTGTGGCACTGTACTATGCTTATCCTGCACGCTGCGCGTTGCGCCGTTTGGATCCACGGCCTGCCACCATCGCTCGGCCAGAGGGCCGTGTTCTGTCGTGCGGGCCTTCCACCAGTGGGTGGTAGCCTCGCATGCGACGTCTGCGGAGGCGCGCGCGCGCGCTAGTCGATCCGGCGGCTGGCTATGTGGGAGCCCGCGGGACAACTTAGCGCGGGATTGCGTCTTAAAAAAGCGTCGTCCCAAGGCCCTGGCTCGAGCGATTGTGGCGTCGTTTCTCGTGTCTGCGGGGTCGCAAGCCCCCGCGTGGCAGCATCATCAGTCGATGGCGGGACATGTCATGTTTCGTTTCTCTTCTGCGCGCCATCGCTGGCCGAAGTTCGCTGCGCTGGAGGGCCGAGCGTTCGGTTGCGGCACGACCAACGTGGAGCTTCGCGTCGCAGGATGACTACTACGACAGGAGCGAGCCAGTGCGCAACATATGGAGCCATCACCGCGCCCACCGTGCTATGCTCGCCAGAGGTGTGGCCTGAGGTCGACCTTCATGTAGGCCAGGACGTTGCGGCGCACTCCAGCTATGTGGTCACCTCAGACGGCGACGCGACTTACTCGCCTTCAACTCGCATCTGGGATCGTACCGGCTACATCATCACGCCTTCCCCACGGCAAGAGCCCGCGCGGATTGCTTCACGGTGGGCTGGGACAACTGGCGAGCAGCCAAGCAGTGCGGCGGTCCTTGCAGGCAAAGGTGCCAGCAAGGGAGCGGACCCACCGAGTGGGTAGCCCAATGCCCGACCCTCGGGCCAGACGGGTGCGCTTCTTGGACCGCACGACCTACCGCTACATCGAAGAAGAAGTTGATGGTGCACAACGTCCTGGGCCTCGACACTGCCCACCGCGCGATCAACGACCAGAAGAAGAGGCTCAGTCTGTTCAGGAGAATGAGACGTCCAAGTGCACCGATAGTCCGCCAGCCACTGCATTGGGCAGGTCCAGCAGATGGGGCATCGGCAGGGCCACCTCGACAACCACGACACCATCCTCTGCGCCCAGGAGACGGCCGCCCCGCGAGAGTGCACCCGCACCAGCCCACGAAGGGGAGGTGCGTCGCTGGGCGCGGAGCTGGATCCGCAGCGCGAGGGACGGAGCCCAACCAGATGACGAGGCTGAGTGGGAAGACTGGTGCGAGGCCAACCTCGCACTGGAGTTCCAGCATCTGCGTTTTCAATGGGCGCCAGCAGCTCTCGGGGTCAAACTGCTGAACAACTTGCGCGTGAGATTTGTGACCGCGCGTGGCGCAAGGGCGCCAACCACAGGCATGCTTTCCTACGATGGCTCGACGCGCTCTCGCCTGCAGCACGGGGCGCTGCGCGCGGTATGCACCAGTATGATCAGGACCGACTACGGATTTGGACCGCCAATCCAAATCGGGCAGGACCATCGCCACCCACAGAGAAGCCTCGACTTCCACGCTGGCAGCCGCGTCCGCGCTCGCACTCGCGGCGCTTATGACGCCGCCGTGGAGGGGAACGTGGCCGAGAGCAGCTTGCTGCAGGCCCCAGCGGCCCCCCGGGCGGCGCCCGCTGCCAGCGTGGCCCTGGTGCTCGAGAGCAAGGCCAAGACGAAGCTGAGCATGGGCCGCGCGGCGGAGTCCTACAACTCCGAGGGCAAGTTCGCCAAGGCGGCAGCCGCGGGGGCGGGCGAGGCGCACAGGGGGCACCCGCAGGGCAGGCGCCCCGGCGCCCTGCTCCGAACGAACCTGTACCACCTACAGTTGGCACTTCGAGGGCGCGGAACCGCCGCGAAGGAGGACATGGCCGAGAACGACCAACAGCAGGTCCAGATGGCCTCGAAGGCGGCGGCCACTGCTGGCGAGATGGCCCCCGAATGCACCCGTGCCGAGCGGAACGCTGCTTCGTGGCAGAGTGTCAGGACAACGCGAAAGAGGGCCAGGTTCGCTAAATCGGAGCGACTGACCGTCACCGCGTGCTGATCGTATCCAACCCACAACCCTGTGGGGCGTTGAAGTGGCAGGAGCTTGCGGGACTTATGATCGCGCCGCGCCGTCAGCTCCTCGCGCCGCGCCGTGAGCTCAAGGAAGTAAGAGTCGCATATCGGGATGCTGGGTTTACTTCAGGTGGGCCCACCAAGCTGCATGCGCCAGTGCTCACTTCTTCAGTGAAGCCGGTTGCACGCGCCTTATTATGTTTGTTTGGTTTTCCTTATTTTATTTTTGTTGTTGTTATTGTTGTTTTGTTATGTTTTGTTTTGTTTGCTTTCTGCGTTTGTGCCTCTTCGCCCCCTTCTCGGCCCGCTGCGTTGGTGACTTTGAGTTTGGCTCGGCCAGCAGCCCTGCCCTTGTATTACCTGGGGCGTTTCCGACGTCGCAGTGCTGGCAAGGGCGGTTCCCGCCATGCTGCACTATGCTTATCCTGCACATGTGCTTTGCGCCGTTTGAGAATCACTGCTCGCCGCCAGCCCGAGGCCAGAGGGTCACGTGCTGATGTGCGGGTTTCCCACCAGTGGGTGGTAGGCTTCGTATGTTGCGTTCGTGAACGCGCGCGCGCGGGCCGACCTTGCGGCTGGCTCAGCGAATGCTCGCGAGACCTCAGCGCTGGGCTTTCGTCTTCAAAAAAAAAAGCCTTCTCGGACCGAGGAGGCGCTGGGGACTTGTTGAAGGAAACTAAATACATTATACATGAAGAGCGGGCTCGCGAAAGACAACTGGCTCGCCGTCGGAAGAAATTCGTCGCTTAGCGGATTCCCCCCGGAACGGCCGTTTCGCTCGAGACGTTCTCGAACGCGTGGGATGGTAGACGGCCTGCTTCAAGACGTCTTCTGTTCAACATGAGGCCCTCCCTCGAGACACCGTCGAAACGCACGAGGACGAGGAGGATGCGGATGGGGGGGGGGGGGGGGAGGAAGGGAAGGAAGATGAACCGGATGAGGAGGAAGAGGAGGAGGAGGAGCAGGAGGAGTTGGAGGAGGAGCGCAACACGCCCCCAGTGCATGAATGCCCACATAGCGCATACACCACGTAAACAATACACCACTTACACCAAAAACAAAACGCACGCCCACCCTGCGCCCCTCTCGCCCGCCCGCCAAGCACACGCACCGCGCGCGCGCCGTACGCCCCCCCCCCGCCCGCCCACCGACGCACACACGCCCCGCACGCACA